TGGGATATTACTGCAGAACACAAGCAGTGGAGGGCCAGTAGTCTGACCAGTTTAGTAGTAGCTATTGACATATGTAAAGATGGCTGATCTGACAGCTTAATTTCTGTACAGTGGGAGGAAGTGGAGACCTCATCTTTTGTCGATGGTGGTAGCAGTGAAGTAGTTGAGGCAGAAGTTAATTTTCTGCTTCCTTGTTTTGAAATTCATAGCGCACATTTTAATGAGTTGGACAAAACTGGAATGAATCCTATTTGCTTTAGAAATCAAATTTGAAAAACTAGTATTGCAACTTTTCACATTGCACACAGCCTTACTTATTGCAACTTCCAGATAGTCTTGTCTTTGTCTTAGTGTATGTCACATGATCACGTCCCCTATGTAGTGTATATGTCACAATAAACAAACTGGAATGTACGACACCTGAGCTTTTGCAAAGATGACCCAAAATGAGACGGAGTAAGAGAATCAGGATGTGCTTGAATAACAAGCTTTTCTTCTTCAGAATGGTCAACCCATCCCGGGGATGGAAAATGATGCGATCAGCAGCCTGTCACTGTAAGTAATGTCTGTCTGCCTTCAGTGTTAGGGTTGGTCATATACCAAGGCTTTCGGGATTCTCAGTTCCTGACTTGCTGTGGAATTGACCAGAAAACAAATACCATCTCAGTGGGCTTGCGTAGTGGGCTTCTGTGCTGCCTGCTGATTAAAGACCTGCTGGGAACATGACCTGCCATCACTGCTCTGCCACTTTCTTTTGTTAATGTCACAGGCATTCAACTCAGACAGAACTAACCTTGAGTGTAACAGCTGAATGTTTGCTTACTTTATTTTCAGACGCAGCCATCAGTGAGCAGCTGAGAGCGCACTGTCTGCACTGAGATCTGCAGCTGTGTCTTCTACAATGTACTCAATAAATAAACTCAGTAACTACACAACGCTCTTCACTTGTGTCTCTCCTAATATCTGATCAAATGTGTTAAAGCTGCAGCTTACACATTTGTCATATTTACTGAAACTGTTGGTATTAGTCTCTTAACCTTGTTATAAGGTAATGAAAACAACCTTTTCATCCTTATGAATATGACCAGAAGGGTGCTGAAATACTCAGAATACTCAATTCAGATTACTGGATTACCTAAGAAAGCTACAGCTAGTTCAGAACGCTACTGAACTAAAATTAGGGGGAAGGGGGAGGGGAACTCACTGCCTCTGGATATTAGAACAGCAAACAGAGTAACTTTCAAATTAAAGACCTATCCTTTTATTCTGGCAATAGTGTTGCAGTATTAGTTTTTAGGTTTCAATCACTGGTTTCTACATTAGTCCTCTCCCTGGTGTTTATTTTAATGTGGACTTTTTTATGTTTTACATTTTATCGTTAAATTCATTTTTAGCCTTTTGAGTGGTTTCAGTTTGTGAAGCACTTTGGGCTTCATGTTTGTATAGAAGGTGCAATATAAATAAAGCAGCATTTTGCTGGAAAGTCTGGTAAATATTTGGATCTCCTCCATTTTCTCTAGGCGGGTGGTCGTCTGTCTCGACCAGTTGGGGTGAGAGAGAGACAAATAAAATTGAATTAGTTTAACAATTTGTGTCTGCAACTTAAAATCTGAATTTCAATGAAAAGTTAGGTTTTTTGTTTTTTGTTTTTATCACACTAGTCTTTGGGCACATGGGACTACTGTTTTTCCTAAAATGGTAGAAAATGAGAATAAGCAATAAAAAGTGAGGGGTTTTCTTAATTTATTTTTGACCATGTCACCACGTGGCCACGAAGTAGTATTTCGTGCGCACGAAATACTACTTCATGGCCACAATTGAATTTTTTTTTTTGACCATGTCACCAGAGGGGCTCCGTACTATATCAATATAAATTGCACATACAAATTTAACAAATTAGCTGTATCTCAGAAACTACAAGGAGCACAATAAAGTTAACTTTTCTGTCAAAATAAAGTCAGACATCAGATAGCCAACCATTTCAAATGAATTTTTTTGACCACACGCACCATTCTGAACCAGTCTGTGACCACTGCCTGAAATAGATACTGTGTACCGTCCCTTCTGATTTTTGTCCATATGAGTACCCATATTAGGATGGCCGTACCCACCACTGAGGTCACCAAGGTCAAGACCTCTGTATTTTTTTCCAAGGTGTATACAATAAAAGCCTGGAAATAATTACCCCAAAATATATTTCCTTTGATGCTTTGATGCCCCCCCCAGCAAGGTCAGTTATTTTACCTCCGTATTTCTAAAACCCTACGTATAGCAATACCGGTGAGGTACTCCTTAATGCCCAAAAGAAAACAGCACTGAAAATGTCCTTAAAATTGATCAAAAACACTGAAAGAAGGGGTTATGTTGTGTTCAGGATTGTGGCCCACCACTTGCCATATCTGATCTCCCTGATGGCACATCACATTTCCAAGTAAAACAGTAGGAGCATATTTCCTCCACTAGGGGGCAGTGTGTTTATACTAGCATGCAGCCTTGCCCCTGTTGAGTTGAGGTTTCATGTCCTTTAAAGGAGATGTCTTAAATTGGAGGTTATTTTCTGATTTGATGGCACAACAGATTGTCCCCACACAGACCTTTCCATCCCACTGTGTAATATAAAATGCTGACATTTCCAAATCTTTTGTGTATGAGTACTTGTCCTCTGTCCATCTATATGCTCAGTGTGTAGTGATATGCATGACCCTGCGGCGCTCACAATGCGTTGGTGTGTATGGTCCAGCACCCACCCCGAACTCTTCCATTGGTCAGAGTCGGTGTATCCTAACTGAAACCTGCACCGGTCTCACTCACTGCTCTGACTGACTGTTGTTCACTGGCTTCTAAGCACCTCACTCCAACATTTCCTCTATAAACCGAACACATGGCAGCTAGCCATTACCACCTGATTACACAAGCCTCTTTGTCTTCTGTACACTAAAGTCATGTGCTCTGTTTAAATTATAGGAAGTGCAGCATCAGACAAGGACAGAACATTTTACCTTCTGAGCTTAGGAACAGCCTCTGTTCTCAGTGAAGAAGCAAGCTGCCAACTTTTGACAACCACCCTTCACTTCTTTCTTTCCTGTCTTCAGGACAGGCATGGACATATTATGAGACAATGGACCCTTGGGCACAGACATGTAATAGGTTCCCTGCCCCACATATCATCAAATTGAAATGAGGCAGCCATGTTGTTTGTGGTCACTTTGTGTCTCTTGCTCACATTTTGAGGGTGAACCAGAACTCTCAGAGACACAACACAACTTAGAGATGTTATTTGTATTTGCTCTGTGTCTCTGTAGTTGTTTTGTGTCTCTTTGAGGTCATTTGGTATCTTTTTGCATGTCTCTATAGTTGTTTGTGTCTCTGTGTGGTCATGTTTGCATCTATTTGTGGTTGTTTTGTGTCTCTTTATAGTCATGTCACTTATCTTTTTATCATGATTTTATAAATATTAACTGTCACTTCGCACAAACACTGTTGACCATGAAGACTGTATTTGGCTAGGGTATTCCTTTAAAGATTTTATGGTGGGAAATTCTCCGGATTATATGATGCATCTAAAAAAAGTGGGTGAAAGTTCACAGAAGAGAGCAATGTGATATCATCAGAGCCAAAAACAGCTTCTTGTCCAAGCCTTAGCAGCAACAGTGGGCTATGCAGGTCACATGACACCATGTATGTGTTGTGTCATGTGACCTGCAAAAGAAACAGCTGTGAAAGTAGGAGGTTAAGTAAACATTTTGAATATTAGCTACAATATTTGTATTGAAAACCCACATGTGTTTGTGTTATTGGTGTGGTGGTCAGTCAGCCAGGCGGAGCCACAGATGATGTTTATGTCCTCTGGACCAGAACAGACTCTGGAATGAATGAGGTTGCATAATGGAACATTGCACCCAGTCCTCAAGACAACAGTTCTACTAACTGTGACTGTTACTGTGACAACACTGTCATTTCAAAATCCTCTGCATGTGTTTGTTGCAATCCCTCAACCCTGATGTACAAGGCACGGACAAAATAACACAAATGGCTGTGCTGTGATAAACACTGCCTTTGCAAAACTGAAAATGGTCAGCTGACACATATACAACATACACTGATCAGCCGTAACATTG